CTGTCACTCCAGGATGGAATCCATGGCAACATGGGAAGGAAAATATTCTCATGAGAATATTAATGCCTACACAGCTTCAGCACTAGCCTCTTAATTAACATGCTATCTTTCTAACTAATTATCTTCTCCCTTTCTATCTCAGTCCAACCTCCATCTTTCTGTGATGAGTTGCCTAGATATCCAGAGATTTCTTAGATGCTACAAAAACAGCTACCACACCTTACTGAATGAATTGAGCAGGGTTGTAGGATCCAACATCAGTAAACAAAAATCCATTGTATTTCTATACACTAAAAATGAACCATTAGAAAGCAAAATTTCCTAAAATAACATATACAATGGCAACAAAAACATCAAATATTTAGAACTGAATTTGAAAAATATAGGTAAGATATGTACCCTGAAAACAGCAAAACGTTACTGAGACATTAAACAATACCTAAATAGAGTGGAGACTGAATATTGTTAAAATGTCAGTTTCAGGGCCCTTCCTGGTGATGCAGCAGCTTAAAGCACAGCATATGAAGCTGTCTGCAGCCACTCTTGCAGCCAGCAAGAGTTAGATCCCTACCATGGAGGTGACCCACATGGAACAGCAGGCCTCTCCTGTCCTGCCTGCTGCTCCCCACAGCAATTTATTTCAGTAGATCCATCTGTTCTGCTCCCAACTCCTGGGAAATCCTCTCACCTCCCCACACATCTGGCCTTTACCCCAGTTCTTGTATGCATAAGTAAATAAATCTTAAAAAAAAAAAAAATGTCAATTTCATCCCCAAACTGTTTAATAGAAGGGTTAGGCAAGCTATCACCTATGGCTCAAATCCAGTTAAAACCCCTAAAGTTTTATTGGAACATGATTATGTGCATTTATTTATGTATTTTCCAATTTTTATAAATTGTAAAATTCTGTAAATATTCAAGTATATATATATGTAGATGTTTTTATATTGGTATAAGCACCAGGAATGGTGTGTGCTATGGAGATTGGTTGCCTCAGAAAGACAGGAAGGAAGTAATACTAAGGTGAAAACACAGTTTTTTCATTGCACATCTTTGCCTAGTTTACTAATTATATGAAGCATGAATTTTTGCAGTTAAAAATTTTTGAAAACACATCCTCAGCATTCTAAGAAAGAATTAAAGCACTTTGCTTTAATTGCTTTCAGGTCAGTCTTTGCTAGAATTTGTTACATCCAACATTAAAATGGAATTCAAAGGAAATTTTTAATTTACAGGACTGATGACAACCTTTTCTAGCTCTTTCAGCAATTCATGTGTGTTTTTTTAAGCTTAAATCTCAATGGTCTTTTCGTCTTGCTATATTTTTATCTGCATTTGGACACTTTGTCACAACTGAGAGAATATTGGAGTGGTTCTCCAAAAGCAAAAGTAGGGAGGAGACAGAAAATAAATAATAAATATTTACTTCAATACCAAGTGAGATGAGGGAGAAAGGAAAAAAAAGAGAACATGGAAGATGAGAAGATTGAAAAGGAACTAATCTTATCAAGCTGCTGTTTCTTAGATTGTGGTTTGCAATCTCCCCAAAGGTTGTTCTCTTAGAAACTATGACATACTTAACTATCAACATGTATGATGTTCTTCTTTCTAAAATTTGCTGTTATATCAATGTAATGTGTATTTCTTTGGTGAATTTGTTTTTGCCCTTCATAATCCATTTGGCAGGCAATAAACAGTTTATGCAGGTTTGGAGTATTATAACTGGGGAGAATAATCTAACTCTATTCAATATGATTTAATTACTGTTAAAAATAAAATTGTTAAATGTGATGTGATTATTTTCAAGAATATGTTTGGTGTGGAAGTCAGTTTTTACTCAAAGCAAATAACAGAATGTTCTATTTAGAATCTGATCATATAATAGGGAGTTTTTAGTCATTAGCAAGTCTTTATGAACATTAATGTAGGAACCACTGAAAGTAGAGAGGGAGAATTTAAATTTATTTCTGTGTAAGATAACAAATTTTCTTTCAATAATTATAAACTCAAACCCAAATTTTAAAAAGGTTGATATTTTAGAGCCAAATTTTTTCAAAGAAGTAGGTGTCATAATCAAATTGAAGATTTTTGTTTTCTCTTTTATTCAATAGGGTCACCCATCTCTTGTGAAAGCTCTGTCCTGCCTATATGAAAAGTTTTATCAAAAGCAAGTTGACCCAAATAAAGAAATTCTCATATCAGTAGGAGCATATGGATCTCTTTTTAGTGCCATTCAAGGATTAATTGATGAGGGAGATGAAGTAAGTATATTTGACATCATCGTGTCACTGCACTTTGTCCTACATTTGAATCTTTCACTTATTTTACATTACAGTCTCTTTTTCTTCAGTTATTTTTGGGGTATAATGCCTGTGCAGTAAAGTTCACAAGCCTTGATTTTATATAGTTCAATAAGTCTACATGTATATGTACGTTAACATGATGACTGATGCGACCACAAACCAAATGAAGATATAATCCATTTCCAGGTACCCCAGAAGGCTCCAGTTTACTTTTTCCCAGTCTGTATTACCCCAGGGGTAACCCATCTTTTGTCCCCTGTCACGTAGCTTTATTTTGCCTGCTCTTTTACCTGATGTAAATAGAATCTTCTAGTATGTACTCTTGATTCTGCCTCCTTTCACTTATCACCCTGAAAGATTCTTCCATTTTTGTTACAGTTCTTCATTTTTGTAGTCTCATTGGATTTAGAGAAGGACAGGTTGAAGGGCTGGCCACAATGGGGGAAAATTTAATGTGTAGCATGCAGTTAAAATAACCTTTATTCTGAACTCAATCAACAGGCTGCAGCTAATATCTTCTTTGTGGTTAGCAGCACCCTGTGAGGAGGTCCTACAAGAAGGTTGAGTGATTTCCACTAGGTGGTACTAAGATGTAAGACCCACTTTGTCACAGAGTTCAGTCACTTCTACTCCTCCTTCCCCAATGTCATTCTAATACCCCTGTGTCAATGTTTCCTGACTTTCCACCTAGTTAGAAATTGTTGAGTCTTACATGGATAGTCTCTGTGGGAGAGGAGATTTTTCTAAAAGAAATGTTTGTGTGGAAAGAGTCCCCTGTCTAGTATGAGCTAGACTTATGAACAGAAAAGAATGTATAGTCCCCTACGATCTTGTGAGTTATGATGGTAATGGAAAGAAGTGCTCTGAAAAGCTCTACAGAGGTGTTGCTTTAACTGGATCTGAAGAATGGATATTTGCCCTGATCTACATTGTTATTGTTCCTTTCTTTGAACTCTCATCACCCTTCATCTGTACCTCTTTTTATTAAAAATGTCTCACTTTTATTTATGCTGTTATTCTTTTATACCTCTAATTCCCTCTACTGGATAATAAACTACTTAAGAAAACATCTTTAAGGATGTACACTCTTACTTTGCTATACATAATCTCCTTTAATTCTATAGAACAGGTGAAAGTTTCATCTCATATTTTGATGTTGTTGATCTTTTGTTGCTTCTTCCTTCTCTGCACCAGTTGGAATATCCAAGGCTCAGCCCCTCACCTTTCTATTCTTTCTTCCCTGATCACCTTACCTACTGTTTTGAAACTCATATTGCCTTTTATTATGCTGGCCTGTTTTATTCACTATAGCTTTTCTTACTACCTGAATTTATCTCCCTTATTTCCTTGTTTCTTTGAAGTCTCTTTCAGTAGAATGTAAGTTGCAGAACTAGTTTATTGCTGTACTGCCAGCACCTAAAATACTGCTCAGTAAAAAATCTTCACAAAGAGAATGATTCCCATTATAAAAATGTAGAAATTACAGCAAAGAGTATTAGGTATATGCTTTCAATTCTGCTTTTTTGCTTCTTCAATTTATTTTCCTTTATTGAGTTCTCACTTCACATCAACCATAGCATTTTTCACAAAAGTTACAAAGATAGGTTACCGTAGTCCCTGAGAATTTTGTAGACTAATTAAGAACAAGTCCCATTTCTGGTTCATTTTCTTTCTCCTCCATATTTCCTAACCCCTAAGGTAGCACATTGTGCTTAGTGTAGGTGTTCTATGTGAGTTGAATGACTAGTACAACTGAAGGGACCTAAGAATGTAAGGGCCTCATATGATTCTAACAAGAAAGACCTTGAACAGTTTACTCACATCATAAGAAATACAGACTGTGAAACTATGCACATATACTACAATAATCAGGTAACATTTTCATCAATAAAGTTAATTAAGACAAATTAGTGTTGACTCATAAAATTATAAATAGCTGCAGGTTTCTCAAAAACAACTTGGCATTGTTGTCTACACAGGCAGACAATAAAATTTTTTTTCCAGATTTCACTAGAGTGTAAGCCATTAAAATAATAAATATTAAAACTACAATATAAGGAAATTCTGTGAAATGGTTACTAGGTTTAAAAACAAGTTGAATGTATTCAATGAAAAAGTATTGATTTACCAATAATCATAAGTGATAAATATATAAATTTACTAAGTGACAGATATAAATTAATAAAAGATACATGGAATTATAAATTATAAACATGTAAACTCTCCTTATAGAATAATAAAAGGTGTGTAGGATACTAACGGAATGATTAGATTGGTCCATCAATGTGAAAGCCGAGCAATGGTAATTGAGAAAGAAGATGTAGAGGCAAAGGAACAAGGAATAATATCAGAGGGCTGGGAAAAAGGACAGAATCCATATATAAGTCGCCTTGAGGGAATGTCGGATAGTAGCCTCTTTACCCTGCATCCATCATTCATTTCAGGATGCTTTTGAGAAAAAAAAAAATCTTTACTCTCAGGACAATAACTATAACTTAGCCTCATAATAGAAAGCATTGCAATATTCTCTTTCATTATAGTCTTCTGTCACTAGCTGACATTTATTTTCTAATTTGAAATTTTAGATGATGAGAAAAATGGCCCCATTTTCCAGGAAAATGTACCTATGTACATAAAATTTTGAATGCAATTTCAAGAGTCTCCACTGAAAGCCTGTCCATAGATCTCCCTAAGAGACCCAGGATTCCAGCTAAAGCTGCCTGGGACACATTGTCTTCAAAGTATCTTCCACTGAATACTGGCTCCATGAAGGCAAGACCTGCTTTTGCACTGCTGCATCTCACATGTTGTCTTGTGTCTTATACAGTATAGGTACACGACATTTGATAAATGAATTAATGATCATATGTTTTTGCTTGGTTTTATTTCAGGTCATAATAATAGTGCCTTACTATGACTGCTATGAGCCCATGGTGAGAATGGCTGGAGCAACACCTGTTTATATTCCCCTAAGATATGTAAGTTTGCCACTATAAGAAGTTTTGAAAAGACCGATTATATTGTTACAGATAAAGTTGCCACTGTGATTATGTTCTGGGATTCGTTATATATCTCAATTATGATTGAAGGTAATCAACAACTCTGAAGAGGGCAACTTCAGCTAGCTTATAATATGTTGTCTTGTGTCTCTGTTGTACCATCATCTACATTTTATGTAATATTTTCTTTTGTGGGTATGTGTCTCCCCCAACAACTGTGACTCACTGCAGAGGCCATCTGTGACTCACTGCTCCTCAGTGACTAACAATGCAGGGTATATGCTGGGCACTCAATAAATGCGTGCTGAATTCTGAATAAAGTGATTTTTTTTTAAAGATTTATTTATTTATTCATACAGAATGGGGTACAGGCCAGAGCTGCAGAGGGTAAGAGGATTCACCATGGACAGAGTGGGGAGCAGAACAGGCAGATCAACGAAGTACACTGCTGAGGGTAGCAGCGGGTGGGTCAGGAGAGATCTGCCACGCCATGTGGATCTCCTCCAGGGCAGGCGGGAATCGAACTCATGCGGAAGTGGCTTTAGCTTCTCAGTGCTGTGCTTTAACCCGCTGCGCCACCAGGAAGGGCCACTGAATAAAGTGATTTTTTACCCTGCTATTGTCTTTGGGAATATAACATAGACTTATCAAAATAATACACTAAGGTAAACTAAAGGTCTTTTTATTAACATGACATTATCAAATATAGTAACCATTACTATAGTTGACTCCTTTGAAAGGATATAGGCACTGTAATAGCTGTTAATGTTGGCAGAGTTCATTTTTCCACTTAACAAGTGTAACCATGCAACACAATTCCTCTCATGCTCTTGAGAAAATTAAACCTCAGGTATTTCTGCTTAAAATCTTTGTTAATCATTTGTTCAGTTACCTTTGCCTTGTCTTTCTCTAATTTTTTCCCATATAAGATTATTTATTTATTTCATAGTGCTACGCTTCAACCTATTGCGCCACCAGGGAGGGCCCAGGCTATTTGTTTGTAAGACAGAAAATTTGAACTAATTGAATTAAATCACCTCTTTATTTTTTATGCTTAGAAACCTGTGGATGGGAAAAAATGGTCTAGTTCTGACTGGACATTGGATCCTCAAGAGCTGGCAAGTAAATTTAGTTCCAAAACCAAAGCTATTATAGTAAATACTCCTCATAACCCCTTTGGCAAGGTAAGTGAATCTTTGTTCTCTCTTTGCCAACTTCCATCACATCCATTTCTCAACTGTTGACTAGTAATTGACTTTGCTCTTATGTTTCCTTTAATATGTGTAGGTTTATACCAAAGAGGAACTCCAAGTAATTGCTGACCTTTGCATCAAACATGACACACTCTGCATCAGTGATGAAGTTTATGAATGGCTTGTATTTAGTGGAAATAAGCATTTCAAAATAGGTACTGACATAGGCTCACAAGTTTAAATAAGTCTGATATGTTTGGGCATGTGTGGAACTACTGATTGGAAAGGTTCCCAGAATAGCTCCAAATATTCTTTTTTTTTTTTTTTTTGAAAGGTTTTATGCATGCAGGAGCTGGGGTGTAGGGCAGAGTTGCAGGGCAGTAGGGGTGGTGTTGGAGGATTCACCAGAGACAGAGTGAGGAGCAGAACAGGCAGATTGACTGAAAATACACTGCTGAGGGAGCAGCAGGCAAGAGAGGAGAGGTCTGCTGTGCCATATGGGTTAGCTCCCTCACCAGGGATTGAACTCATGCTGCAGTGGCTGCCAAAAGTTTTATAGTGCTGAGACTTAACCCCTTGCACCACTAAGGAGGCCCTCCTAATAGTATTTATAATGGGAATCTGTAAGAGCACTAAACATGATATTAAAATGAATGGTGCTTGAGTGAATTAACATATTGGAGGGCAAACAGTGCAAACTTAAGGAAAGAGATTTTAGGTCATACTGTATGCTATGAACTCAGAGAAGTAGTACTTTTGCCTATACCCATGGCTTTTTATCAATAATCCAGCTATTATGACTTGATAACTAAGACACAGGAAGCTTACTTATTCCTGATCTGGACTACCTCTGCTGAACAAGTTGATAGAATGCCAGTTCAACAGGAAAAAACTACAATAAACTGTAACTCCTGGCCTGTGTCACAAATGCCAATATCTTCTGGGTTGTTCCAGACTAATCTCAGAGATAGGATTATAAACAGGCTGCTCTCTTTGGATATTAGCACTGGCCCTTTCCTCCAGATGTGTATTCAGCTCAGTCTCTCACCTCCCTTGGGTCTCTATTCAGACATGAAATTTCATGGTAACAGCATTCAAGGTAATTGAACCTCTCCTTCTGGCATTTGCTTTGTCCTTTTTCTCTTCTGTTTTTTCTCAGCAAATATCAGGGTCTATATTTTCTATTTCTAAGCTGTGAGAGATTTTTGTTCTCTTCTGAATCTCTAGTTCCTAGAACAGGGTCTTGTACATGATAATCAGCAAATAATTGTTGAAAAAGAGAAAAGGAAGTATGAAAATAGCAGGGGAAGGACAACTGAAATCAGTATGACAAACCAATTGATTAAAAAATTAGTGGACTTATGTTGTATCCTAATTATCCTTATAGTACATGACAAATTATTGTAGAGACACTGAAGAGAAATCAGCTGCCTGTGGGGATCAGCAAAGGAGTGGACAAAAGATGAAATTAACGAGGCAGAGTTGTAGCAAGAAAATTCTTTTCAGATAAACTAGTAAGATATCAAGTAAGGATATGAAAACAAGAAATACTTCAGTAAAGTGGTTTAAAAGGTGGAAAAGTAGGGTAATTCTAAAGGACTTCACATATATATGAAAATAAAGAGTCCTAACTTCACTGAGGAGGCCAGTGGTTCTGAAAATGTCTTTAATAGTAGATACCTCGAAGACATGCTTTCATCATGAAATAGTGATCTGTTGCATTCCACCCTGAAACTAGGAGCAGTTTTTCTAACAAAAATCAATAATTTGGAGACATCAACTAAAAATCACAATTTGTGTTTGTCTATAACAAAGAGCTATTGGCATCAACTTCTTTAGTTTTTCTGATTTTGCCACAATTTCATTTAGTAAAATGTTAATTGTTTTACTGTTGGTATATATCAGATAAGTGATAGCATTAATATTAAATGCTTAAGAAAATTTTGTGGAAAAATTTTAAATTGATTGCTTCAAAAGCTCTCTTTTAATTTGATCATCAGAGCGTCAGTGAACCTACCTTGAGAACTATTGTAAAAGATGTGACAAGGTAGAAGAATTGATTCACTGATTGGATTTGTTTCAAAAAGGTGTAGCCAGTAACAGAAGGGAATCTTTTTTTTTTTTTTTTTTGCCAGAAAACAAGATCAATTTATTCATACATGCAAGAACTGGGGTGTAGGTCAGAGGTGCAGGGAGTAAAAGGATTCACAAGAGATAGAGGGGGGAGCAGAACAGACAGATCTGCTGAAAGACACAACTGAGGGGAGCAGCAGGCAAGACTGAAGAGGTCTGCTGAGCCATGTGGGTCAGTGGGAGATCAAGCTCTTGTCACAGTGCTTGGCAATAACTTTGATAGCTTTGAGACTTTAACCCCTTCGCCACCAGGGAGGCCAAACAAGAGGGAATCTTAAGCAAGTTAGGAGTCCTGGCACTAAAGATGATCTGTGAGTACTATTTAGAAGGAGAAATTACACAACAGAATACAGTGTTTGAAGATGGGAAGGGAACAAGAACTATGATTCAGGTACTTCTTGCCTAGATCAGTCAATAGTGATGAAACGTTAGCTAAAAATAGATGTGGTGGAGGAGGAGGAGCCGATCTGTGAGAAAAAGTGAAGCAAAGGAATGTCTTGTTTTACATGCTGTAGACTTACAAAGTTTCAGTGTCTGTGAGACATGGAGAAGGAGATGTTTGGAGACAAGTGGAATTATAGACCTGATGATCAGTATCACATTATAAGGGAATACGTTTTTGAGAGGTATCAGAACTTTATAGATAATGGAACCCCTAGAAGGAAAAAGACTTTTCTTGGGGAATGTATAAACAGAGAAGGGTAGAGATTTGTAGGGATTGTACCTTAACACAGAAAACTAGTTATATGTCAAAATTGCAACAGAGTTCACCTTTAGCCATCTTGTGGATGATGTCTTCCATCACTATTTTATTTTTCACTATTTTATTATTCACAGAGATAATGTGGTTGCAGTAAAATGTAGATATTTTATCAAATACAGTGGTCTTTGTTATATGAAAGATGCAAATGGCTGAGTTAATACATTAATTTACAGTGTGATAGCAGTCCTTTAATACAACACAGTAAGGCTGTCTTGCCATACATCATGAAATTAGCAGCATCTTCATATTGTTACAAAATCACCTTTCCCCAAGGCAGCATTTTTCTGCATGTTGCTAATCTTTAATCTTTAACTTCTATTGAAGTACTTTAACTTCTATGAGATTACTATGACTGTTACCAGATACTATAGGTGATTTATGGATCATGGTTCATAAATGAGATATGCAGAGACCAGTTGCCTTTCAACTTTCAACTGTGTTTAACTTACAGTGTACTAGAGACAAATTTAAAATTTTCATTATTAAATTTTTCAGTCATTTAGAAGAAACATATATGTATATATATACACACACACATACACATATACATATATATGTTGACATTCATATACCAATCCACTAAGATTTGAAATAATTTAAGATTCATTATTACTCAACTGGTCAGACTACTTACTGAAAAAAAGGTAGCCACTTTTAAATGGCTAAAATTGACAAATTACTTTTCCTTTAAATACTGTAATTAGACTTACTATTTTGTGAACAAAGTCTACATTTGATGTCCAAGTAGTTTTGATTTTCTTCACACATAAGTTATAATGAAACTATGCTAGGATTACATTCATTTCTCTGAGTAGTTCTAGTGTGAATTTTCTGTTGAACAGTCAAGTGGGACATGTGTCACAGTATTCTTTTGAAATACTGTACAAGGCTAGAAACTTGAAGGCATATAATTATTTCAAAGGCTGGAATAACCCTTCTTAGAGCAGGACCTTCTTAAAGAAGATTACTTTATGAAAATGGTAGCTTTGAGCACCCCCTTCCAGAGACAGCTACTTATTTTCTTTTTGGGTATACCAGCACTCTTAGAAAAACACAAAAGTATCCTCTGATCTCTGGAACCAGTGAATGTTTGTGAGATTTCCTGTGAAGAACTTTACAGCTAAACTACTTGAGAAATCCAAAAAGCAGTGATGGAGTTAGCATTTGGCAATTAACAGAGAGTAGTTTCTCAACATCCAGCAAAATTTACACTTGTGCTAATTTATCTGCATGACTTTGTTAGCTGCATTCCCATCATCCAGAATGCTTTTACCCCTATTTTCAGACTTGCTAAAGCCTATGGGGTTTCCAAATCTCAGCTCAAGCATTACAGACTGCAGAAAGTAACCCCTGACAACTTCCTCTATCTTTGAGTAATACTCCAGGCCTACTGCTATTGTAGCCCTGTCTCACCATTGCAAATCTTGTTTCTCTGGTCTCCTAACCCTCCAGACATTAAGATTATTGAAGATAGGAGCTTCATCTTTCTGTAGACCTAGCTTAGTTTCTGGTACGTGGGAGTAGTTGCTAGTAAATATTGATGTGTGAATGAATGACCAAATGAATGATTTTATTCCAACTTCAGTAAAACCTTATACAGCCATTTCTCATTTTTCATAGAATCTGTATTTGTGAATTGACCTATTCCCCAAATTGTAATTGTCACCCCAGAATCAATACTCATCGTGTTTCATTGACAGACATGCAGAGGTGGTGAAAAAATTGAATCAACTTATTTGCATATTCCCACTTGAAATTGAACAAGGCAATTTTGCCTCTCTGCCTTCTCGTCTTAGCTCATGCTATCAACAATATTCTTTCGTGGTGATTATGCTATTTAAAATGGTCCCCAAGCATAGTGTGAAGTGCTATCTAATATTTATAAGTGCAGGAAAGCTGTGATGTACATTACAGAGAAAATACATGTGTTGAATAAGTTCCACTCAGGAACAAGTTCTAAGCTGTTGGTATGGGGATATTAGAGGATGATAACCTAAAAGGCATGTGACTTCTTTGGGAGTGAAACAAATGTTCTAATATTGGCGTGGTGGTAGTTGTACAACTCCATGGATATACTAAAACCCCCTGAATTATGCACTTGCAGTGGATGAATTATATGGTATGGGATTTTGTTAACAAAACACACACACACACACACACACAGGAACACATGCAGAGATTTCTGGACCCCCACCCTCACAGTTTCTGTGTCAGTAGGTCTGGGTTGTGGTCCAAGAATTAGTCTTTCTTCCAAGCTCCTCTGTGATGGTGTATTGATGGTGTGGTGACAGCATTTTAAGATCCATCACTTAAGAATTCTACAGAAAATAGATTCAGAAAATGGGCAGAGTAGAAGGGGCACTAAGCAGTAGCCAAGACCACAGTGAAGACCAGGCCATATAATGATTTGTTAAACACTCACTACACTGACCTGCCTGGAACTCTACCCACTGCCACTGCCTCTGAATAATAATTTGAAATTATTCGATCTGTTTTACATATTACTTTGGTGTGACACTATAGTATTTTAAAATTTTGTAACTATTAATATGTTTTGGATTAAAGTTCATTAACTTTTTAAAAACTATTGAAATAATCCTATTAACTATATTTATTTATCAATCTTGAGTATCTTTGTCTTTAGATTATAAAAGTATAAATTGGTTGGAAAGCTTTTAATCTGTTTTTTTGTTTTCCCTGTCCAGCTACTTTTCCAGGTATGTGGGAAAGAACAATCACAATAGGAAGTGCTGGAAAGACTTTCAGTGTAACTGGCTGGAAGGTCAGATGAATAAGAATTTAATTGCTTAATAATAGGCATGTATCTTAGTTCTTAAAACACATTTTATGTTATAAAATTCATATTTATTCCGTTTGAACAGGGTTTCTTACTGAATTTTTTTGCTTCTAAATTATTCACAGCTTTCATGTTCTTCATCTTTTTTGAGATCCAATCATTTCTATAAAAGTAAGGGGGAAATTAGGTAATTTTTCATTTGAAAAATTTTCTTTTCAAGGAATGTTCAGAATACTGCATGATAATATAAAAGGAAAAAATAATAGAACTGGTACTTTGGTATTTACTATGTGTCATACTCTAAATGCTTCTCATGTTCTGATTCATTTCATTTTTATAATCACATTTTGTGGGTGGTATATTACTGCCATTTTACAGACAATAAAACCAAAATTCAGAAATGTCAGGTAACTGGCCTGAGGTGCTAGTAAATTCAAACCAGGACAGTCAGTCTAGTCTTCAGAATTCACACATTTAACCACTGCTTTGTGTAAAACAATAACGATTTACCTAGTAAAAACTTGGTTACCTTCCACCTTTACCTCTTGGCTAAGAAGTAGAAAATTCCCAAAAATGAGGCCCACAGAAGCAATTTATCTAAGAGTCTCATAGACCTTATTTAAACCTATTCTTGTAATTTAAACAAGCTTTGTAGCTTTGTTAACTGATTTTTAGACCTCAGAATTCAAAAGTAGCAAATTATGGGGAAGATAATAATTGCTGATATGGTTTACCTTCTGAAGGCAGAATTTAGTGATTCCAGTGGAAACTTATCCCCAAAAAGTACAGAGTTGAAATGATTCTATTAATGCTGCACTACTGCTTATTTAGTGTCAAATTGCATATATTTAATAATTAAGCTTAGCTACTCTCCAATTTGGTATATGCCATTAGGTACATTTTTGAAACCTGCTTGTATCTCTTCCTTTCCCAGCTTGGATGGTCCATTGGCCCTCATCATTTGATAAAACATTTGCAAACCATTCAACAAAACACCGTTTATACTTGCGCAACTCCTTTACAGGTACGTGTTGTTACAGCCAGTTAAGCATGACTTTTGGGTCAGGGCTTTAGATTTTGTTATTGTGTATTTAAATGGACTTAGGTCTTCTCTTTGTGTCCTCCTTGAAAAGAGCCTTTTAATACTATCTGGCAGTTTCAAAGCAGAAACATCGTCATTGCTATCAAAAATAGTTTCTATTTATTAATATACTACTGACTTTTAACTTCTAACTCACAGACAGTTCTGGTGGGAGAATAGGGTGCCATAAACTCTACAGGACAATAACAGTCCAAGCACAATTATAGATGTGCTAGCCCTAAGAAGCAGCAATCCATTGTTTACCCCTACAGCTATTATCTGCAAATGTAAGAAGTCCTATGTTAATGATCATTCATTACAGTATCGGGATAGTCATTATCCATCTATAGATAATTGGTTTAATAAATCATGATCTGTCCAAATATTTAAGAAATGTGTTATTATATTTTATGAGTTTCCTAATGCTCTGTAACAAGTCATCATAAATTTAATGTCTTAAAACAGTACAAGTTTTTTATCTTACCATGCTGGAGTTCAACAGCTAAAAATTGATGTTATAGGGATAAAATCAAGGTGTCGCCTTCAATGCATTCCTTCCAGAAGCTTTGAAGGAGGGTCTTTGTTTTTCCCAGCTTCAAAGGACTGCTTGCATTCTGTGGCTCATGGTCACATCTCTCCTGTCACTATTACTGTCAGAATATAGCTTCCTATTACTCTTTTCTGACACCCTCTTTTCCTTATAAAGATTCTTATGATTAGGCTCAAAGATAATCAGGATTATCTCTCCATTTTACGACCCTTACTGTAAATCCATGTGCAATTCTTTTTACCATGCAAGATAACATATTTGCAGGTTCTTGGTGTTCAGACATGGGCATCTTTGGGGGCAATTGTCAGCCTTGTCACATGACTATAAAATTAAAATGAGAAGAAAGGAAAAAGGAAGAATGAAAGACATCTCTGATATGCAAATATTTGCAGAATAAATTGTAAAGAACGAGATACAGCGCAGTGTATTTGTTTTTGGACACAACTTTTAGAAACAATTTATTTTCTGTCAGCCTTACTCCATTTTCTGTTTAAGTGCCTGTGAGAGAACAGCTGAAGCCCACCTAGTGGTGGTTCCTGACTATTCAGTGGCCTGAGTAGTGCGAGCTGCAGATCAGTCTTCTGGGCAGGCTGAGCTCTCAGTCTTAAAGAAGGACTTGCTGAGTGGACACAGAGGGCAGCACCATGCCCACTGACCAGTCTGTGACCTCAGGCTGAGTAGCAGTAAACTCGGGAGCAGGGTAGTTAGTTCATTGACCTTGTAATTTCTTCTTGGTCACAGTCTTTTCAGTAGCAGCCAGAGCAGTGAAGGTTTTTGCTTGTTTTGTATGTTCTTAAAGGATCTCTGGATGAATCCATAGGAAGCAAGTGGATGTAGCTGTCTGTAGGGCTAAAGGGAATAGGTGAAATTTACATGTGGGGACATGAATGAGTACAAGATTTTTTAATGTATATCTTTTTCTATTGAAAATTTATAAAATACTTTTGTATTTTGTATATGAATACATAATATATAACATATATAAATATTTTAAGTATAAACATAAAATATTTCTAAAATATATTTATAATAAAAAAACAAACAGGGAGCCACATGTGATCA